AGATATGGTGTTTGCACGAAATGTTGATACTCTGAAGTGTACAAATTTTATAACATATTTCAGCTACCACAGACCAATCTTAAGCGTAACTAATTCAAGTTAAAGAAGCAATGTCTTACTCAAACTTTAATCAATTGTAAGGCATGTATAAAGCCACTATATAAACTCCTCACCGTATAGACGTATTTACGTCAAATTATCCGGAACCGTGGTTCCACTATAACTTTTTTTTTGGTCCAGTACACACCATTCAGCATGGTGTGCATTGGTGGATTCACGACCCATCAGTACGTGGGTTCGATCGGGACCGTGACATTTAACGCTCCTGCTCTGACCCCCTTTTCGCGAGATGATGATGAAAGTGGAGTAATTGTCGGGATGCCACGGAGAAACCGGGGAAACCGAGGAAAACTCCGTGATGCCTGAACCACGGCCGTGCCCAACACAAGTTGTAAATCTAAGCACCGCCAGGAATCAAACCCAGCGTTCTAACCGCTAGACCACCGTAGCAGTTATTATTTTCAATTATCTAGACTGGATTAGATTTTATGAAGGTGGCACGGACATGCCCCCTCAAAACTATCAAAATTTTTGCAGGCAAATGAAGCATTAAAACCTCGTTACTACACCACTGGAGACTTACAATTTTCAAAACTCTGGAAAAACTTGTCGCGGCATATGTAAGCAGTTTCAGGACAATTTAAAAAGCAGATGATAAGGCACACCAGCAAATAGAGTAAAATTTATGAGAAGAAACACAAGTTACACAGTGGAACTGACTGTTGCTAACCTGCAGAGCTCTGTACTGAACCAACAGAGGTTCTAACTGACTGCCCAAGTACTTTTCTCGACTGCCGATCTTCTCAAGTGTGCTTGAAATGTCCGAATGGAGTTTGTCGAGTTGACCTTTCGTTGTTGTCAAAGCTTCGTCAATTCCACTGCGATGTTTCTGCATCTGCTCTAGATGTGTTCGCCAATCCTGAACATCTTCAAAACAGAGAACATAAGGGAAAGCAATTGGTATCTTCCCTTCAGGATTTCCGACTAAAATTGTGTACATATTTCTCATAACCTACATGCGTGCTGCATGCCCAGCCCATCCTCCACGGTTCGCTTGTCGTAATGTTTGGTGAAGAGTACAAATTACGAAGCTCAAAATCAGAGTCCGCGGTGAGAAAAATTATTAAACTTGAAACTTCATTGTGGTGCAACTGCAAATACGGTTCCGTCCAGGAAATAACTCCGTACCTGTACTGATGGTGACTTTAAGCTGCGGTAAGATTCTTTCCAGTTCTAATTTCCATCCTTCAGAGTTTGTAGTAGACTCAAGGATGCCATCCGGTTTCTGAGAATCTGTTAAAGTCTGTGCGAAAGTAAAATATCGTAATAATGTTAGAAGCCTTACAATTAATTTTATAAGAAATATTTTTAATTAATACTTCTGTGATTATGACCATGCATCTGTGCTAGATTCCCAGACAATTACAGAACCTTATTCCCAATGTGCAAGTTATGCAGATCATCAAGATGCAAGATGTCTTCCTCGTCTTCGTCAGAAATCTCTGCGGCCATATCCTCTTCCACCTTTTCAAGTAGCAACTCTGATTCATCCTCCATCGCATCTTCTTCTTCCTCCACTTCCACGACTGGTCGAGGTCTATCGACAGTATGACAAACTTCAGTTATCACTTTTCCTTCATTCATAATTAAACCCTTTTGAATGCTACTGACAAACCCTCTCCTACGATTACTGACATGTTTAGAGCCTTGCATTTCATCAGATAATTTTTAATCGGCTTGCTGGGGCTTTAGTTAGAAGACGTTCTTTTGGTTCAAAATGACAGAAATAGTTTTATCTTCACATTTTGGCAGATAAGTCCACCACATGGAATGGTAATTATCACTTAGCTGTGATAGGATTAAACTAGCACCAGACACTTTCAGTTTTTATCTTTCTGCCAAGGGTGTTTATAATGACACTGGTTAATTCACACTTCACAACTCAGAATTTTAGTGTAACTTTCAAATAAATAATCAAAGGGTTTAACTTACTTTTTCCAAGTAAAACTGGTATTCTTCAACGCAGCATCCGCCAAATGATCCAGCACAAATAGGGCGTGTTCTCCAAAACCTTGCTTCAATTTATTTGGTGGGAAATCCACATTTACACCCTGCAACAGATAGAAAAGCTGTGAAACAGTAATGAAACAAGATGTCACACAGCAAAGTAATGTTACTATACCAGGAAAAAAAGATATAAGACTATACACACAATGAAACATCCTAGCAGATAGCCATGACCTCAAATCTCTTAAGTGACGATGGTGTTGATGTGGTATTAAAATATTCAAGAGAAATACAGACAAAACAATATTTAAGGTGGTAAAAATTAAAAGAATCTGATCAAGAAAGAACATAATATATTTTCTTTAAAGCTGTGATCTTACCTTATGTTACTCTGTAACACTTGATGTGGTTAGAACTCTTTCCTTTCTTCATTAATCTAAATTAAAGTATGTTTAAAGCAAAAAACATAACCTACAAAACCAATATAAACTTACAATTTGTCGAAGTGAATCCAAAATACTAGATATTGTAGAGTTGGGGTCATCTTTTTCTTGTGGCTGTTCAAATGGCCTCCCTGACTTTCTGATCAACCAAGCTGCCAGTGACGTAAAAAGGTAAAACTGCTCACCAGGATTTGTCTGGAGTGCAAAGTAGTGCCTATGAACAAAGGGAAAATTCACGCTCTGATTTATTTCTGTGGGTTGTTATACATGAAACTAAATTAAACAGAAGACAGGTACATAAAAACATATACATTAAAAATCAGATCCAGAGCATTTGAAGTTGACATTATTTTCTAAACATTACAAAGTTTTATTTAAAACATTATCTGAACTTATCTATGTGCCACAAGCAACACAATATAATGTAATACAATTAAAAGTCCCCAGCCACACTAATATACTAAAACCCAGTACAATAAAAAAAATTCTATGTGTTTCTGTTGGATGTGAACTTGGTTTCCTATGTTAAGTACAGAAACAGAGTGATAGCATTTGAGAACAGAGTTCTGCAGAAAATACTTGGATATGAGAAGAACAAAGTAGACAGAGACAAGAAAATATCACATAATCAAAAACCCCATATTTTGTATTCCACACAAAATATTATTACGATGACCACATAATGGATAGGCAGGGCATGTAGCCAGCAGTAAAGCGATAAATCAGATTGAGGCAAAAATCGAAGGGTAATATGAAAATGGTGCTTATGAAAACAGGGCATAGATTTGATTCATCTGGCTCAGGATTGGGGCCACTGACAGGTTTTTCTGAAAATGGTCATGAATGTTCCAGTCATTCATAATACAAGTGTTGTCTAGCCTGAAGAAAATGTCTTTAGCTCCACTACCTGTATGAGATCTGGAACTACTCTACCTATTTAATGGCTTCATCTTGAGGTCTTTAATGAATTCTTGGTCATATCTAAGGAGTTTTAATTTATCCAGTAGCTCCTCCATCACAACAAACGTCAGATAACTAGATCCTGGGCCACCATCTCCTTCGTCTGCCATAAGTAATCTTTCGTGTGGATGCTGACCTTCTTGTAACATACTTCAAGCACATATCACTGATCTGGAATGTAATAAACATAAAATGATTAAATAATTTTAAATTATTTGCAATAAATTGGTAGAGCGCCATCCCATCATGCATGCATGGCAACACTCGAAACCATAAAAAAATTTCCAGGACAGCTGGTGTACTGGCCACAAATTAAACATGGTAAATTCTGAATGCAAATATTTTACTGCTGAAAGTACCTTGATCAGTTCCACTACAAGAATAGAAACAAATTACTTATTTATGAATGAACTACATTAACATTATACTACCCACGTTATTTCTTGCTACTGATTACTATAATAGGCTTATTATTTCAGTACATAACACAAATTACTACCTCCTTTAACCATTAGTCTTGGGACTTAAATTAGAACGCGAAGAAACAAAGTGACTGAAAATGAATTGTATCTGACGGTGAACGTAATCTAAACTTATTACGATTTACAGTTGCCCGTAGCTCATTATCTACGTTCTATTGGTGAATACAACATTGATTGTTCACAGTGAAGAAAGAGTATGGATGTTATACAGGTTACTACTGACATCTAGCGGTCCTGATTACATGTTCTTCTTCTTAAACTTGTATTAACTAGGCTTTTCAAAACTGTACTCTTGTACCGTCTCCCAAGACTTCATTATATCTGTAGTTAAAATATTGGATTCCACGTAGACATCGTTAATGGCCCCGTGTGTTGGGGTATCAAGAAAATTAAAAGTACTTTCCATGCTGTCATATTGAGAATGTTTGGGTGTTCCCTAATTTGTCGTTAATACGAATTGCCCCATTATGTTCATAATACAAACGCTCCACTTTATAACTTCAGTAATTCTTCACTGCGGCACTAAATGATGGTGAAATGTAAGCATAACACCCAGGCCGCGTTTTACCCCCAAGGAAAGAGCCCTGATATTGATATCAGTTGACTGCTACATTGGCTTATCGGAGTCCAGGAAATTAATAAGGTGTTTGAAGTAATCGCCCAGACATAATGTCCATACACAAGTTAATGAATTTCCGCCCAGACATTCTCTACTTTCTAATCCTTACAGACCAGTACCACTTGGAAACGGGAATGTATTTCGAGTTGTCACTAATGGCATAACAACCAGACTAAATTTCGTTAATTTCCGTCCATCCATTCAAAAACTACAAAATTCTTGAAGTTGGATTGGTTTGAGTTGGGTTAGGTTATGTTAGGTTAGTGATGCGCAGAAGGTTATGCGCAGTGACGCCGTAATCACCGTGCCACCTCACGACTTTAAGCAACCACCACGTCGGAATTACGGGTTGTGGAAAATTAAGAAGAGTGTATTTCGAGTTTTAACCTATGGCATAATAACCAGACTAAATTTCGTTAATTTCCGTCCATCCATTCAAAAACCACAAAATTCATGAATTTGGATTGG